TGTATATATATTAAGTACATATTTATAGATATTTGCCTTATGAATAAACTACAAACAAAAGAGTTAGAAATGGTATTAAACTACTAGGCTGTCATATGATATTGTGGGATGTGATATTACAAATGGTTTAGTATAGTTATATGTATATGAAATGATATGATGTGACATGACATGATGTGATATGATAAGTGTTGTGGTGTGATATGATACATGAGGGGATATGATGCAATATGTAATGTGTATTATAGAAATTGTGTAAATACTGTTTTTTTTAGTGTACATATTTTATGGCTTGCGGTCTTCCAGTGTTGAATAAATATTGATTGATTTATATGAAATAAATTGGCATGGAATGACATGGCATTATATGGTATGATAGGATAAGATATGATGGGACAAGCTATGAAATTGCTAATGTGTTGTGTGATATGACATGTTGAAATGTGATATAATATAGGTGTGATATATGATACGATGGTATGTATGGTATGTTATGATATGATAATGGTATATGAAATAATACTATATAGTATGATCTTATAATAATGATACAATATGATATGATGTTATAGAATATGTTGTATGATATAACAAGTTGTGATATGGTAAAATAGAAATTATGAAATTACAGGGTATGGTATTGTACTGTATATGTGAAATTTTGTGACTGCGTTGAGATGTGAGGTGGAATGACGTGAGTTGATTTGGTGAGATATGTACATAAATTGTAAAAAATTGTATATTCTTCAAATTGTACTATAGGCCTGTGGCCTCTTCAGTATGTGAAATAAAGATTGATATACACATGTTCATACATGCGTACACAAACATACATATATACACAAACATACATACGTTACATATACGTACGTACCAAGAACATGTGAACACATACCCATACACAAACATACATGCACATATACACACGAAAACATCGCACAAATATATTAAAACATGCATAAATTGAAACATGCGTATGTTTTTTAGAAGGAATTGATAATAAGATGTCAATAATCACCGGCTTGAGCAGTCATCATGACATGCTGATAACACTAACAAGGGTTAGTAGAATTTAAGAGTAAGGAAACTGAAGTCAGACTATAATACTGCCTTGAACCTAATGTCAACACATATAAATCCATATGTTTTATACTTCAGGAGAAGGATCGAAGAACTTAATGGTTGTTTTATTAGTAACTTTTTAAATACTAGTCATTTGGCCCATCTATACATTTGAAGATCAGGTTTATCAGAATGTAACAGTAAACTTGTTACAGTTAGATAGTTTTGGCCAAGGTCATGCGAGAAAAAAAATGATTTGTACAGGACAACTGTTTCGGACCACTAACAAGTAAAGTCAGCAGCCCATCATGGAAACTTGTTTTTGTCAATGAGGCTTTAAGTTCAGATTCATAGTACTGAAACAGTGTAATAACAGAGGAAAATATTAACCACATTATGAGAAGAGTGACTCAGATTCTTCCTTGCTGCTGTCAAGATCAACAGTAGATGTTTGACTGTTTTGAGTGAGTTTTAGTGTTATCTTGATCTTTAGGATGTATGTACACTGGGTGGTTATATCTAAGGCAGTTAGAAATTGTTTGACCTGTTTGATGTATGGTTTAACTTCTAGTTTATTGTGGGCACCGAAGGAGATGTGTTTAGGGGCTTCGGGAAATTTAGCAGTTTTTTTTAGTTTACAATAACGATTGAGATAGGGACCGTTTTGCGGTTTCTGTTTGAGGCTATCCTGCGGGTGCTGGTTATTTGGGGTTGAGGGTTTAATTATTGATTTGTGTTTGCTTCTTAGGTGTAGAGTTCTAGGTCTTCGGCTGTTTCTCTAGGGTTCACTCTTATTACCCCTCGGGTGAATTGCTGCCATTTTGGAATTTGTTTTGTTACGGTTACGTGAAATATTTGTACTGTTTTTTAGCATTATTGAAGGAATCTTGATTTGGGAATATTATTTGGTAACCTTTATTTGCTTTTTTTGATGTTGCTGTAATGGATTTTTTCGCGTTTGAACCATAAACCTATCCTGTCTGCTGAGAGTTGTTTAGTTAGGATTGATGCTGAACCTGCGGCGAAAAAGTATAGTGCGAAGGTAGTGACGAAGAAAGCCGTGGTGGGTGTGGGAGAAGCTGGTGGAGTGGATGAGCCGAGCTTGCGTTTTGGGGGGGGTTGTGTTTTGTGGAGGCGAGTTGGCTGGTTTGGTGGGGGTGGTATGTTCCATGTCTGAGCCATACTCGTCCGGGACTATGTTTTCGACTGTCCTCCCGGAAGTGTCGTGCGCTTCCGCGGGTGTGGGTAAGTCAGGATCTGGGGTGTCTGTGTGTGAGATGATGTGTGTGTCTGTCATGTGTTAGGGTGTTGTGGTTGTAGGTGGTGCGCAGTGTTTAGAGTGAGTTGTTTGGGAAGTGAGGTGTAGATTGAGTGGTTGGCTTGGTGAGATGTGTTTTAAGTTTAGATTTATGTGTTTTGTTGTTTTGTGGATTAAGGTTTTGAACGTGGCTTGGGTGTTTGTGTTGTAGTTTGTGTGGAGTAGTGATTGGAATGAATTTAGGAGGGCTTGGGTATTTGAACGTGGCCTGGGTGTTTGTGTGGAGTAGTGATTGGGATGAAAGGTTGGAAGTGTGAGTTTATAATTACCGTGAGGTTCTCCTTGGGCTGGCTATCAGGCGAAGCTGTGCTGGCTTGGGAGGCTTGGAAGGCTGGAGAGGTGTTGCAAGCTTGGAGTAGTGCTGAACAACATAGGTATATATATTTATTAACATCAATGTTTATACAGTAAATTAATTGATGGACACATCCCAGCCCCTATCCATTAGAATAAAAGAACACAAGACCTCAGTACAAAAAAATGACTCAAAATCAGCCATCTCCGACCACACCCAAACCCACCCCGACCACAACATCCAGTGGAACAACATCAAGATCCTGGCCAACAATCAGCCAGACTACAAAATCAGAAAACTCCTAGAAGCCATCTACATCAAAAGGATCCAGCCAGCAATGAACAGAGATCAAGGCTACCACATCCCGCCTGCTTACCATCACCTAATTGCTAAATCCCTATGTCCATTCAATTAATCCACTGGTTTCTAATCATCTCTATCAGTACGCTTGCTGACTCTGTGTCCTTTAGACAATTCACTGGCTTCTAATTCACTGGCTTCCAATCATCCCAATCAGCTTCCGTGGTTGTTTACCCAGTCATTCACTGGCTTCCAATTATCTTAATCAGCTCTCTGTGTCCATCAATCAATTTACTGTATAGTCATTGATATTAATAAGTATATATACCTATGTTGTTCAGCACTATTTACGCAGGGAACAGCTAAGCTTAAATTTCTGGGCCGCGTCCCAATCAAACCCTCTCATCCAAAACTTAATAAACCAAAACATCAGCCCCAAAAACCAAGCTCTAGCTCGTAAACACCCCTTACTTACCCCAATATCCCAAAGAACAAACTACCTAAATGAACACAAAATTAAAAATCTTAAACAAAACTGCAAACAATCAAATATCTTCACCCCTAAAATTAAAATACCCAAAATAGACACAACACTAGCTAGCCAAATAAATAAACAAACCGACCCAAACATAACTAAAACTACCACACTAGCATACATACACGAAAATTGGCCAAATTGGTGTCACATTTACACGGACAGATCCTCAGATCCGACCTCCAAACACACAGGTTTCGGAGTCCATACCACACAACCAACTAAAACCACACAATCCTTCCGACTCCCAAACAACCAATCAATATTCACGGCAGAACTAACGGGCATGTCCTCAGCCCTCCATAATCAAGAATCCAAAAACCACAAAAAAAAATCCTAATACTTACCGACTCCCTGAGTGGACTGCAAGCCCTCCAAAACAAAAATACCAAAAACCGACCTAAATTAATAAATCAAATACTTAAAAGCTCCAACGACCTAACTAAGGCAGGCAAACAAATAACCTTCTTGTGGATGCCCGCCCACGTAGGAATATACGGTAATGAAAACGCCGATAAAGCAGCTAAACTATCCCTCAAAATCCCAGAAATAAGCTTAAACTTACCCATCTCAAAATCAGAAATTAAAAGTGTAAACAAGCAAAAAATCACAAAAAATGGCATAACCTATATCTAAACTCAAATAGCCAAAAAAAAAAAAGTGCTCAGCAAACCACTAACCAAACCAAAAATTCTCCATCCATCAAAAAAAAAAATCGACAGAGTAATCACTAAACTCCAAACAGGACACACCAACCTAAATAACCACCTAAAAATAATAAAAAAAACACACTACAGGTAACTGCCCACACTGCAAACAACCAGAAACCCCAGGACACGCACTCATCCACTGCACACACTACCTAACACATCGAACCGCATTACAAACCACCCTCAATCTAAACAAGGCTCTCACTCTAGAAGCAATACTAAACCCACAAAATAAACTAGAAAACTTCAAGGCCTTAGGCGTATTCTTAATAAAAACGGAACTAATAAAACGCATCTAAAAACACAATAACCTACCAAGTCAAAATCACATAAACAAACAAACATCCACCATACCCAGCTCCCTTAGTTCTCCTCTCCAACCCCATCGGCATCTATTCCAAATCTCAAAATTCCCAAATTCTATATAAGCCAACCCCTAAACCCCCCTCTTGGGTTGCACAGACCACTTTCGCCCCTTTCGGAAACACATTAAATGGCCTGTCCGGGCCCGTGTGCGAAATACGCATCAGTCGGAAAGCGCACGTTAAATCTCCAAAGTAAGTAAGTAAGTAAGTAAGTAAGCACTATTCATCACTTGCTTGATAAAGGTGTTAGGATCTACACCGAAACGTCGCACTAATTGTAATAAAGAAGTTATTCCTCCATAGAACTTGCCTTTCTTCATAGTATATGTACACTGGGAATTCCCTCCCCTCCTCAAAATGTATATTCGTGCTTCATGAATGGTTTCATATATCGGTTTGGCTCTGTTGTCCTCAGGTGTGCCTTTGAAGACCTGCAAACAAGCGAAGTTCAGCTGTCTAAGTGAAGACAAACGCTGCGTTTCTGTCAGGGCCGTGTGTAACAATCGCAAAAATTGTGCCGACCACTCCGACGAACACACATTTTGCAATGGTTTGAAACTAATAACACATTACTACTCTTAGACATGTATTCTACATTTTCTAATAACAATATCCACACATTCGTGTGAGTCACTATATATAATACGTTATAGTGTGAACGAAGTCGCCAGGCCCGGACCGCACTCCCGCAGTCCCTGGCCTGACAGCCACACATATGGGTACAGACAGCCACATGTATGGGTACAGAGTTGGACCCGGACCCCAGTCCCGCAGTCCCTGGTACAGAGTTGGACCCCGGACCCCAGTCCCGCAGTCCCTGGTACAGAGTTGGACCCCGGACCCCAGTCCCGCAGTCCCTGGTACAGAGTTGGACCCCGGACCCCAGTCCCGCAGTCCCTGGCCTGACAGCCACACATATGGGTACAGAGTTGGACCCCGGACCCCAGTCCCGCAGTCCCTGGTACAGAGTTGGACCCCGGACCCCAGTCCCGCAGTCCCTGGTACAGAGTTGGACCCCGGACCACAGTGCCGCAGTCCCTGGCCTGACAGCCACATGTATGGGTACAGAGTTGGACCCGGACCCCAGTCTCGCAGTCCCTGGCCTGACAGCCACATATGTGGGTACAGAGTTGGACCCCGGACCCCAGTCCCGCAGTCCCTGGCCTGACAGCCACATATGTGGGTACAGAGTTGGACTTGGAACGTCCAGAGAACCACGGGTCCTTTTCCAAATATGTGCGTTCTGTTTTGGCACATTCACAAAAAAATCTCAAATTAGGTTTAAAGAAATATGCCAATCGGGGATTCTACGCATCTGTACATCCGTCCCGACGGAGTTCGCCTGTTAATGGAGGTAATGCCCTCAGCCAATTTGGAGAAAATGGCCCCAAATCTGAGTGAAAATAGTCTCACAATCTGGAGAAAAAGGACCAAAAATTTGGAGAAAAAACAATCCGTAGTGGTTTAGTACATAGGCACGAGCATTTATTAAACACCACCTGATTCAAAATTTAACTCCGACAAATGGTGACAAACAATGGAGCCCATGTTTGTCAGCATGGCGTATATATGTATAGTCGTCAATCACAGAGGGTCACAATGTTGAAGGTCACATGTCATCCGTGAGAGGGAAGCATACTCCGGACACTGACTGCAGAGTCAGTAGTGATTCCAAGGTTGACAATAATCGTTTTTCACTGCATAATGTGACAGTCAAATTCGTGGTGTGGGCTGGGTGATGATACCTTTAAACGTTGTTGTAATGAATGTTTCCAGACTTCTTCACATAACGCCAATAAATCGGTACCTATAGCTGGTGTCAGCTTCATTATTTGTGTGATGGTGGTGCCAGGCGTTCTGTCTGTCAGTTAAGTACTCTTTTGTCGTGTTTCCAACAACGAATCATCCGAAAATGTGGGTGGTGCTTAATTATTGCTCATGTGTATATTTATTGCGAAGAGGCTGTGCTTCAGTGACCATTATGCCACATGATCTCCTTCCCAAAGATCTTAATTCTTATCTTATTGGTCCACGGATGGCACTACACTTAGTGAGTAACCCGAAGCTGTACTCTCCCCAGCCATGTAGTATACCTGTCTGAGTTGCACCATCAGCATAGGAAGTTGCTTCGCCTCCTTGAGCAATTCAGGGGAGAGCGTGGACAGACTCCCTACTGCTGTTCATTTTACAGCCTTGTTGATCCTGAGATGTCATCCTGAAATAAATAGGATTCAGTATGTAATCACCAAAGCTTCGCAAAAAAACTCGCCCATCACTAATCTCCGCTTCTCGGAAAGTTCTTCTGTTGTACACGTCATTGTCTCTAGCCTCGCTGGCTTTTATGTTATTATGGTTATTCTGCCTCAATTTATTGTAATTGAAAAAAAACACCATAAAAACTAATACATGGGACCATTTTCTCTAATTTGGATTTCATTTACCCCAACATTTGGGGCCATTTTCTCCAAATTGTCTTTGGCTGATGATGCTACGGTGTATGTCTGTGACTAGGGTCAGCCACGTACCTGTTGTCTGTTGAGAGCGGAATCATCAAACGCATCCATGTGACAGACAGTTTCAGCACGTCTACCATGGAGCAAAGTATAAGAAATGCACGCGGGCTCGGTGTGGACACGCGCAGAAGACAACTTTTCTTCACTACAAAGTTTTCCATTGTCCGGTATGTCCTATGTTCATGTTGAGTCCATCAACTGACCCAGCCCCACTAAATACATTGTTCAGGTTCCCTCGCTCTAATGTTGTTGCGTTCTTTCGTCTATTTGTTCCGATAATAGTACCGTATGTGTCCCGCACACGCACGCTGCTCCCACGGCCGGCTTCTTATATGAAGTTTATCTGCTGCTCCAGCGCCGACATAACAAACTCACTTGGGCTAGAGAATACGACACCAGTCCTTGAGGACACGTCTGTACAGGTGGGCGACCTGTCCGTCGACTGGCTCCACGGTTTGCTTTACTGGATAGACACAAAACACAACAAAGTGACGGCAACAACCATGGACGGAGCGATCTCCAAGGTTGTCTACACTGGAGGAAGGCTCAACGCCATTGCAGTAGATCCATTCAAAGGGTAAGACCGAAGGCGAATAAAACAAATGTTATACCTCCAGCACATCTCTGGCTAACTACCACCACGTCGCGATCAAGTAATCTCTTTACAGATATATCTGATATATCCGTATGTCCGCCATCTTGTGTCAAGTGTTTCCTGGCGGTGCTGCATGTATGATATATCTGTCACTCCACCATCTTGTGTCAAGTGTGTCATGGTGGTGCTGCTTGTATGATATATCTGTCACTCCGCCATCTTGTGTCATGGCGGTGCTGCATGTATGATATATCTGTCACTCCGCCATATTGTTTCATGGCGGTGCTGCATGTATGATATATCTGTCACTCCGCCATCTTGTGTCCTGTCGGTGCTGCATGTATGATATATCTGTCACTCCGCCATATTGTGTCATGGTAGTGCTGCATGTATGATATATCTGTCACTCCGCCATCTTGTGTCCTGTCGGTGCTGCATATATTATATATCTGTCACTCCGCCATCTTGTGTCCTGTCGGTGCTGCATGTATGATATATATGTTACTCCGCCATCTTGTGTCATGGCGGTGCTGCATGTATGATATATCTGTCACTCCGCCATCTTGTGTCATGGCGGTGCTGCATGTATGATATATCTGTCACTCCGCCATCTTGTGTCCTGTCGGTGCTGCATGTATGATATATCTGTCACTCCGCCATATTGTGTCCTGTCGGTGCTGCATATATTATATATCTGTCACTCCGCCATCTTGTGTCCTGTCGGTGCTGCATGTATGATATATCTGTCACTCCGCCATCTTGTGTCATGGCGGTGCTGCATGTATGATATATCTGTCACTCCGCCATATTGTGTCCTGTCGGTGCTGCATATATTATATATCTGTCACTCCGCCATCTTGTGTCCTGTCGGTGCTGCATGTATGATATATATGTTACTCCGCCATCTTGTGTCATGGCGGTGCTGCATGTATGATATATCTGTCACTCCGCCATATTGTGTCATGGCGGTGCTGCATGTATGATATATCTGTCACTCCGCCATCTTGTGTCCTGTCGGTGCTGCATGTATGATATATCTGTCACTCCGCCACATTGTGTCCTGTCGGTGCTGCATATATTATATATCTGTCACTCCGCCATCTTGTGTCCTGTCGGTGCTGCATGTATGATATATCTGTCACTCCGCCATATTGTGTCCTGTCGGTGCTGCATATATTATATATCTGTCAGTCTGCCATCTTGTGTCCTGTCGGTGCTGCATGTATGATATATCTGTCACTCCGCCATATTGTGTCCTGTCGGTGCTGCATATATTATATATCTATCACTCCGCCATCTTGTGTCCTGTCGGTGCTGCATGTATGATATATCTGTCACTCCGCCATATTGTGTCCTGTCGGTGCTGCATATATTATATATCAGTCACTCCGCCATCTTGTGTCCTGTCGGTGCTGCATGTATGATATATCTGTCACTCCGCTATCTTGTGTCATGGCGGTGCTGCATGTATGATATATCTGTCACTCCGCCATATTGTGTCCTGTCGGTGCTGCATATATTATATATCTGTCACTCCGCCATCTTGTGTCCTGTCGGTGCTTCATGTATGATATATCTGTCACTCCGCTATCTTGTGTCATGGCGGTGCTGCATGTATGATATATCTGTCACTCCGCCATCTTGTGTCATGGCGGTGCTGCATGTATGATATATCTGTCACTCCGCTATCTTGTGTCATGGCTGTGCTGCATGTATGATATATCTGTCACTCCGCCATATTGTGTCCTGTCGGTGCTGCATATATTATATATCTGTCACTCCGCCATCTTGTGTCCTGTCGGTGCTGCATGTATGATATATCTGTTACTCCGCCATCTTGTGTCCTGGCGGTGCTGCATGAATGATATATCTGTCACTCCGCCATCTTGTATCCTGGCGGTGCTGCATGAATGATATATCTTCCACTCCTCCATCTTGTGTCCTGGCGGTGCTGCATGTATGATATATCTGTCACTCCGCCATCTTGTGTACTGGCGGTCCTGCATGTATGATATATCTGTCACTCCGCCATCTTGTGTCCTGGCGGTGCTGCATGTATGATATATCTGTCACTCCGCCATCTTGTGTCCTGGCGGTGCTGCATGTATGATATATCTGTCACTCCGCCATCTTGTGTCCTGGCGGTGCTGCATGTATGATATATCTGTCACTCCGCCATCTTGTGTCATGGCGGTGCTGCATGTATGATATATCTGTCACTCCGCCATCTTGTGTCCTGGCGGTGCTGCATGTATGATATATCTGTCACTCCGCCATCTTGTGTCATGGCGGTGCTTGCATGTATGATATATCTGTCACTCCGCCATCTTGTGTCCTGGCGGTGCTGCATGTATGATATATCTGTCACTCCGCCATCTTGTGTCCTGGCGGTGCTGCATGTATGATATATCTGTCACTCCGCCATCTTGTATCCTGGCGGTGCTGCATGTATGATATATCTGTCACTCCGCCATCTTGTGTCATGGCGGTGCTGCATGTATGATATATCTGTCACTCCGCCATCTTGTGTCCTGGCGGTGCTGCATGTATGATATATCTGTCAGTCTGCTACTTGTGTCCTGGCGGTGCTGCATGTATGATATATCTGTCACTCCGCCATCTTGTGTCATGGCGGTGCTGCATGTATGATATATCTGTCACTCCGCCATCTTGTGTCCTGGCGGTGCTGCATGTATGATATATCTGTCAGTCTGCTACTTGTGTCCTGGCGGTGCTGCATGTATGATATATCTGTCACTCCGCCATCTTGTGTCCTGTCGGTGCTGCATGTATGATATATCTGTCACTCCGCCATCTTGTGTCCTGTCGGTGCTGCATGTATGATACTTCTGTAACTCCGCCATCTTGTGTCCTGGCGGTGCTTGCATGTATGCGGTGCTGCATGTGTGATATATCTGTCAGTCCGCTATCTTGTGTCACGTATGTGTTGCAGTGTGTTCTACCTGGCTGACAACACCTGGCGGCCAAGAATATATATGTGTGGTATGTCTGGAGGAGGCAGAACAGTTTTCATTGGGGATATGGCGAGCATCAGGAGTGTTATGATCGGTAATTTACCTTCGTTATAACATTATTAGGTTATCCTGTTGAATTTGGAACACATTAAGAGTACACATGTGTAATTAGTCGATGGACACAGAAACATCCATTCTTCTGTCAACAGATTTCAAAACCAACATGGTGTACTGGACAGACGTCACAATTAACGCGTTGATGGCCTTGCCCAGCAGTGGTCATGGGGCTTTGAACGTGTACAGTGACCCACACCAGGGAGACATGACGGGTCTTGCCTGGTCCAAGGTGATGTTTAGTGTGCTGTATGTTGACGTGATGCTGTGATTGCTGTGATCTGGTCCCAGGTTCCGTTTAGTGTGCTGTATATTGGCATATTGATACATTTATTTCTGTGTTGAAATAGAGTAACATGGCAGGTTTAATCTGGTGTCAGGTAATATGCATTGTTGTAAAAAAATATCGTATGTTATATTTATCACCATTCATTGGGTAACGTATACTAGAGTATGCAGTATGCCGCTTAATAGAAATATGTTAGACATCAAGGTATGGGAGTGTCTTTATTTACTCCATGTGACTATTACCGATTCTGCTGGGGACAGAAATTCATGGCAAGATGTATCGAGTTTTTAGTGTTCGATATTTCACTGTATAAATTGTATATAGAACTGGATATACATCTCTGACTTTGGCAAGAACACTGTCAGGAGATTCTTTCGGAAGCGCTGGGAGAACGTGCGCCCGGAGGCTGATGGCCCCACAGACATCGCCGCCCTTGACATTGCTTCTCAGCCAGTCGGTATGCGCATAGTTATTGTTAATCATGTAGGTACTTATGTAATATCGAGAGGAAAATGTTTGAACTTACGGTCAGAGATTCATGTCAATAAATTATTCTTTTCGGTTTTTTAATGGAATGGGCGTACATGTACAATTCCACTTTGGAATTCTGGATAGGTACCCCAGTAATCAACGTTTACCATAAGAATCCAATAAAATGAAACGGGTGGTCAGACTCGGTGACTTGGTTAATTGCAGGGCACCATACTCCGACACTGGTTGTTGAGATGGAGCTGGAACTATGCTCACTGCGGCTTAAAACAACAATTATTAAGTCACACAAGTCACAGATCCTGACAATTATAAAATGTAATAATACTGTATTCAAAATGTAATTTTCAACTATTATTACTTTATATTCATGTACCAATAGATTGTTGTTTCTATACAGTCAGCATGCATTATTTGAAATGTGACACTATGACTCCTGCTACATCAATATGAGTAAGTGGCTATACTGCCCTGTTTAGTTGGTATGCTGGTTGTTGACAGCCCTGTAATGACTGGGCATGGGGAAAGAGTGCACAGAACTCTCCTCTGACTTGGTCACCACGACAGTCATGTTGGAGATACGCACCCCTGGAGGGTCCAACTGGGATTAGGGCATGGTTGGATGTTCGTGGTCTTTCTTACATTCTTCTCCTTTTGGGAAAACGCTGAAGGGAATAGTCTGAAATTTTAGGAGGATATCTGGCCTAATAATCCTGCTGAGATTTGTTCACGATTTACATGTTGCCGTGATATTGGGAGAATATTTGCTAAAACACATTCACTCACTCAACACAAAAACAGACAAACACCATGCATTGTTAGGGACATCTGTTTTGGACGAGAGTCACTAAATAGCCACACCTACCTCCACAATTATGATAAATACCAGGTTACATTTGCATCCTAAAGTAATTAACGCTCTTCATTTCAAGTTAATGTCTTCCAGGTATAACTGACTGTGCTCGCCGTAATGGAGGGTGTTCTCACATGTGTCTCCCCAGATTTACGGATCATTCTTGTGCCTGCCCTGCGCCCCTCGCTTTAGTCGGATCATCATGTTATTATAAAGGTAGGTCCCCTACATACAAACACGTGTTATTAAAGAATGTCAGTCCATGTACAGAATTACAGTAAAGTGTGGCGGTTTTCAGACGTGCTATTGGTCCAGGGTAAGGACTACATAACAAGAGTGGACCTCGCCACCTTGCAGCACGGGGAGTTTGATCGGGCATCATCTTCTGTCACTCCATACGGCTCGCCCGCCACACCGGTTTCCCTTGATTTTGACTTCCGAAATAATGCTCTCTACTGGACGGATCCTGGTTTGAAGGGCATTTACATGTAAGTTGGACGTAACCGACGGATAATTACATATGCATATGTTGCCGTTCATCACCGTAATCTAAATAATGAGCAGACTGTAAATACATTGATCAGATCAATCATTGTCCAGACTAGACTAAGATCAAGACCATGTTTTTTGTGTGTTGCTTAACGCCGCACTCAGCAATATTTCAGCTATATGACAGCGGTCTGTAAATAATCAAGTCTAAACCAGACAATCCAGTGATTGACATCATGAGCATCTACGCATCCACCACGTCAGAGAGTCTGACGACCTGATCCCGTTAGTTTCGTCCCACCATAAGCATGGGCTGCTGAAGACAAATTCTAACCGGATCTTCATGGGGGACATCAAAACCATGATATTATGATGTTATATATGCATTCCACAGGTCAAGGTTGAAAGAGAATATGGAAATAGAGTCAGTTGAGACTTTGTTTAGCACTGGTGTGGACGAACCTGAAGGACTCGCGGTGGACTGGGTTGACCACAATGTTTACTGGTCAGATACTGCCCGTCACGTCATCATAGCTGCCTCGCTAAAGACCCGTGCAAAGACGACCCTTCTGGACTCTGGGTTGGGAACTGTCCGAGGAATAGCAATACACCCACAAGCGGGGTACGATCATTATTGCTTTCAGGCGCTTTGGAAACTTGATTCCATGTATTTAACTTCAAGTTTTACAACGTAGAAATCGTAAAAATCAGAATAAAAGCTAGCACGTTTAGGTAGTTTGTGGAGAATGATACACATGTAAGGAGCGAGCAGATTACTTGTCCATCTTCATACGTGCAGTGTTACTATAGGTTGCTCTTCTGGACCAACTGGGGCGATGTCATAGCCTCTAAGGTGGAGAAATGTGAACTGGATGGCTCCCACAGAACACCAATCATAACATCAGGCCTTCACACGCCCAATGGTTTGGCGATAGGTATGGTTTGTACTACTGTACCGGCAATTACTAGGCTTTTACATTATATATTGTATAATATATACTTACACACCTGAAGACACAGGCAGTGTGAACTGAAATGCAACATAGCATAAAAATAGTTGAATTCTCTGGTTATCCTCTAATATTTGGGGTCACGGGTGGCCCAGTAGTCTTTTGCGTCCTTTGGGCACGCCAGAAACCTATGATCGTGGGTTTGATCTAGGTCTGTCAGTATCAGTTGTAAACGTTTGAGACTGCATCAAATCGGGCTTTCCTCCCACATTAAGCTGAGACGCCATGATATAACGGGAAAACTGTTTCAAGTGGCGTTAAACCAACCTAACTCACTCTAATCTTCAATAATGCATCTGTATCGCCCGCTACATGAAATCAACTGGTATGTACACCCAATAAACATATACCTACATTGACTTTGTTGTTAAATATTCTGCAGATTACCAGGCACAGCGCTTGTATGTTGGAGACGCCGGAAGAGACATGATCATAAGCTGCAGTATGTTGGGCAACGACTGCTACACACTTCACACCAGTTCACAGAGGGAAGAACTCATCTCCCTCACAGTGGACCATGTAAGTCACATACCCCATACCTCGACAGAACAGTCTGACTACATATGACACTTACAGGACGCCATGTAGGTACCCCAAAGCCCCATACCTCGACAGAACAGTCTGACTACATCTGTCACTCACAGGACGCCATGTAGGTACCCCCCTGCCCCATACCTCGACAGAACAGTCTGTCTACATTTGGCACTCACAGGACGCCATATAGGTACCACCATACCCCATACCTCGACAGAACAGTGTGACTACACCTGGCACTCACAGGACACCACATAGGTATCCCAACTCCCTATACATCGACAGAAGAGTCTGACTACATCTGTCACTCACAGGACGCCATATAGGTAACCCCATAGCCAATACCTCGACACAACAGTCTGACCACATCTGACATTCACAGGACACCATGTAGGTGTCGCCATACCCCATACTTCGACAGAACAGTCTGATAACATCTGGCATTAACAGGACGCCATGTAGGTACCCCCCTGCCCCATACCTCGACAGAACAGTCTGACTACATTTGCCACTCACAGGACGCCATGTAGGTACCCCCATACCCCATACCTCGACAGAACAGTCTGACTACATCTGACACTCACAGGACGCCATGCAGGTAACCACATACCCCATACATCGACAGAACAGTCTGACCACATCTGTCACTCACAGGACGCCATGTAGGTACCCCCATACCCCATACCTCGACAGAACATTTTGACTACATCTGACACTCACAGGACGCCATTTAGATAACCCCATACCCGATACCTCGACAGAACAGTCGGATTACCTCTTCCACTCACAGGACGCCATTTAGGTAACCCCATACCTCGACAGAACAGTCTGACTACATCTGGCACTCACAGGACGCCATTTAGGTATCCCCATATCCCATACCTCAACAGAACAGTCTGACTACATCTGACACCCACAGGACGCCATGCAGGTAACCACATACCCCATACCTCGACAGAACAGTCTGACTACATCTGACACTCACAGGACGCCATGTAGGTATTCCCATACCCCATACCTTGACAGAACAGTCTTACCACATCTGACATTCACAGGACGCCATGTAGGTGTCGACATACCCCATACTTCGACAGAACAATCTGATGACATCTGGCACTCACAGGACGCCAATTAGGTACCCAATACCTCGACAGAACAGTCTGACTACATCTGGCACTCACAGGACGCCATGTAGGTAACCCCATAGCCCATACCTCGACAGAACAGTCTGACTACTTCTGGCATTCACAGGACGCCATGTAGGTATCCCCATTCACTATACTTCGACAGAACAGTCTGACTACATCTGGCACTCACAGGACGCCATGTAGGTAACCCCATCCCCTTTACTTCGACAGAACAGTCTGATTACCTCTTGCACTCACAGGACGCCAATTAGGTACCCAATACCTCGACAGAACAGTCTGACTACTTCTGGCATTCACAGGACGCCATGTAGGTATCCCCATTCACTATACTTCGACAGAACAATCTGATGACATCTGGCACTCACAGGACGCCAATTAGGTACCCAATACCTCGACAGAACAGTCTGACTACATCTGGCACTCACAGGATGCCATGTAGGTAACCCCATCCCCTTTACTTCGACAGAACAGTCTGATTACCTCTTGGACTCACAGGACGCCATTTAGGTACCCAATACCTCGAAAAAACAGTCTGACTACATCTTTCACACACAGGATGCCATATAGGTATCCCAATTCTGTATACTTCGACAGAACAGTCTGATTACCTCTTCCACTCACAGGACGCCATTTAGGTAACCCCATACCTCGACAGAACAGTCTGACTACATCTGGCACTCACAGGACGCCATGTAGGTATCCCCATTCCCCATACCTCGACAGAACAGTCTGACTACATCTGACACTCACAGGACGCCATGTAGGTATTCCCATACCCCATACCTTGACAGAACAGTCTTACCACATCTGACATTCACAGGACGCCATGTAGGTGTCGCCATACCCCATACTTCGACAGAACAATCTGATGACATCTGGCACTCACAGGACGCCAATTAGGTACCCAATACCTCGACAGAACAGTCTGACTACATCTGGCACTCACAGGACGCCATGTAGGTAACCCCATAGCCCATACCTCGACAGAACAGTCTGACTACTTCTGGCATTCACAGGACGCCATGTAGGTATCCCCATTCACTATACTTCGACAGAACAGTCTGACTACATCTGGCATTCACAGGACGCCATGTAGGTATCCCCATTCTCTATACTTCGACAGAACAGTCTGATTACCTCTTGCACTCACATGACGCCATTTAGGTACCCCATACATCGACAGAACAGTCTGTCTACATTTGGCACTCACAGGACGCCATTTAGGTACCACCATACCCCATACCTCGACAGAACAGTGTGACTACACCTGGCACTCACAGGACACCACATAGGTATCCCAACTCCCTATACATCGACAGAAGAGTCTGACTACATCTGTCACTCACAGGACGCCATATAGGTAACCCCATAGCCAATACCTCGACACAACAGTCTGACCACATCTGACATTCACAGGACACCATGTAGGTGTCGCCATACCCCATACTTCGACAGAACAGTCTGATAACATCTGGCATTAACAGGACGCCATATAGGTATCCCCATTCCCTATACTTTGACAGAACAGCCTGATTACACATGACACCATTTAGGTACCCAATACATCGACAGAACAGTCTGACTACATCTGGCACTCACAGGACGCCATGTAGGTAACCCCATAGCCCATACCTCGACAGAAGAGTCTGTCTACATTTGACACTCACAGGACACCATATAGGTACTACCATACCCCATACCTCGACAGAACAGTCTGACTACATCTGGCACTCACAGGATGCCATGTAGGTAACCCCATCCCCTTTACTTCGACAGAACAGTCTGATTACCTCTTGCACTCACAGGACTCCATTTAGGTACCCAATACCTCGAAAAAACAGTCTGACTACATCTGTCACACACAGGATGCCATATAGGTATCCCAATTCCGTATACTTCGACAGAACAGTCTGATTACCTCTTCCACTCACAGGATGCCATTTAGGTAACCCCATACCTCGACAGAACAGTCTGACTACATCTGGCACTCACAGGACGCCATGTAGGTATCCCCATTCCCCATACCTCGACAGAACAGTCTGACTACATCTGACACCCACAGGACGCCATGCAGGTAACCACATACCCCATACCTCGACAGAACAGTCTTACCACATCTGACATTCACAGGACGCCATGTAGGTGTCGCCATACCCCATACTTCGACAGAACAATCTGATGACATCTGGCACTCACAGGACGCCAATTAGGTACCCAATACCTCGACAGAACAGTCTGACTACATCTGGCACTCACAGGACGCCATGTAGGTAACCCCATAGCCCATACCTCGACAGAACAGTCTGACTACTTCTGGCATTCACAGGACGCCATGTAGGTATCCCCATTCACTATACTTCGACAGAACAGTCTGACTACATCTGGCATTCACAGGACGCCATGTAGGTATCCCCATTCTCTATACTTCGACAGAACAGTCTGATTACCTCTTGCACTCACATGACGCCATTTAGGTACCCCATACATCGACAGAACAGTCTGTCTACATTTGGCACTCACAGGACGCCATTTAGGTACCACCATACCCCATACCTCTACAGAACAGTGTGACTACACCTGGCACTCACAGGACACCACATAGGTATCCCAACTCCCTATACATCGACAGAAGAGTCTGACTACATCTGTCACTCACAGGACGCCATATAGGTAACCCCATAGCCAATACCTCGACACAACAGTCTGACCACATCTGACATTCACAGGACACCATGTAGGTGTCGCCATACCCCATACTTCGACAGAACAGTCTGATAACATCTGGCATTAACAGGACGCCATATAGGTATCCCCATTCCCTATACTTTGACAGAACAGCCTGATTACACATGACACCATTTAGGTACCCAATACATCGACAGAACAGTCTGACTACATCTGGCACTCACAGGACGCCATGTAGGTAACCCCATAGCCCATACCTCGACAGAAGAGTCTGTCTACATTTGACACTCACAGGACACCATATAGGTACTACCATACCCCATACCTCGACAGAACAGTCTGACTACATCTGGCACTCACAGGATGCCATGTAGGTAACCCCATCCCCTTTACTTCGACAGAACAGTCTGATTACCTCTTGCACTCACAGGACTCCATTTAGGTACCCAATACCTCGAAAAAACAGTCTGACTACATCTGTCACACACAGGATGCCATATAGGTATCCCAATTCCGTATACTTCGACAGAACAGTCTGATTACCTCTTCCACTCACAGGACGCCATTTAGGTAACCCCATACCTCGACAGAACAGTCTGACTACATCTGGCACTCACAGGACGCCATGTAGGTATCCCCATTCCCCATACCTCGACAGAACAGTCTGACTACATCTGACACCCACAGGACGCCATGCAGGTAACCACATACCCCATACCTCGACAGAACAGTCTTACCACATCTGACATTCACAGGACGCCATGTAGGTGTCGCCATACCCCATACTTCGACAGAACAATCTGATGACATCTGGCACTCACAGGACGCCAATTAGGTACCCAATACCTCGACAGAACAGTCTGACTACATCTGGCACTCACAGGACGCCATGTAGGTAACCCCATAGCCCATACCTCGACAGAACAGTCTGACTACTTCTGGCATTCACAGGACGCCATGTAGGTATCCCCATTCACTATACTTCGACAGAACAGTCTGACTACATCTGGCATTCACAGGACGCCATGTAGGTATCTCCATTCTCTATACTTCGACAGAACAGTCTGATTACCTCTTGCACTCACATGACGCCATTTAGGTACCCCATACATCGACAGAACAGTCTGTCTACATTTGGCACTCACAGGACGC